TTAAAACATTGATTTGGAAACTTGTGAATCCATTAGAATCGTTAGAAGACAGAATCACAATTCATATTAGGGCTGCACGATTCATTGAAAAAAAATCACGATCTCGATTCATACGGTTTTATTTAAAGCTGATTAAAGGTTTAATACAGTACGACAACTGCAAGCGCGTCCACGCATAACACTTCTCATAGCTATGTGAAAATAAGTGTATAATTGGAACAGTTCATTGTTGGAGCTGAGCTGAATGAGAGAGAGAGATGCAGAGCATGTGCAGAGCAGGGGAACGCAAGGAACAGGATTGAGAACCGCTGCTTTAAAACATTGATTTGGAAACTTGTGAATCCATTAGAATCGTTAGAAGACAGAATCACAATTCATATTAGGGCTGCACGATTCATTGAAAAAAAATCACGATCTCGATTCATACATAAATGCGATCTCATTTCTAAATGACGGCGATTCACTTCCGTGTATTTCCCTGCATTCAGATCATGCTGCATTCACGCGTTATTGGTCACACTCACACAATAACAAAACACTATTAATTCACCAATCAATCATAAATCTTGATCACTTCTCTCCTCTCCCTCATTGGCCGCGTTCCGCTATCACTCCCGTGACAACAAGAAGGTAGACCTAAACGGAGTAAGTTCACTTGGTGGATTTGTAACGGTAAGAGGGGAAAAAATGAACTCCAGTGTGGAAAATCCTGGTGGCGACGGTGAGCATGAGGATGTAACAATATTGGTACAGAAAAAAGGAGCACATTCCACCGTGTGGAACTTTTTCGGGTTTAAACCTGAAGACGATGCGCAAAGAGTCACAATTTGTAAGCAGTGCTTTTGCAACATTCCGCTATCACTCCCGTGACAACAAGAAGGCAGACCTAAACGGAGTAAGTTCACTTGGTGGATTTGTAACGGTAAGAGGGGAAAAAATGAACTCCAGTGTGGAAAATCCTGGTGGCGACGGTGAGCATGAGGATGTAACAATATTGGTACAGAAAAAAGGAGCACATTCCACCGTGTGGAACTTTTTCGGGTTTAAACCTGAAGACGATGCGCAAAGAGTCACAATTTGTAAGCAGTGCTTTTGCATCGTCGCAGCACCACAAGGTAACACCACTAATCTCTACAATCACCTCAAACGTCACCACAAAATACAGTACGAGTTAGCCATGAAAGACAAGGGAGCCACACCTCAAAATACGAGCCGCCAGACCACACAAACTTCCATAACTCAGACGTTGTACGGCGCATCGCCATACCCTCCAAGTTCCCAGCGGCACAAAGAGATAACAAACGCCATCACTTATCATTTAGCTAAAGACGTTGAAAACGAGGGATTTAAGGCAGTGATAAAGACTTTAGACAAGCGCTACTCTTTGCCCTCTCGCAACTATTTTTCTTCCGTTGCACTGCCAGGTCTATATACCCAGTGTCGAATGACAGTCGAGGAAGAACTGCAAAATATGCAGAACTTCGCGGCAACAGCAGACCTATGGTCAAGCCGAACTATGGAGCCGTATTTAAGCTTGACAGTGCATTTCATAACAAGTGACTTCAGCATGAAAAGCCGCTGTCTACAGACGGCGTTCTTCCCTGCTGATCACACTGGTGAGGAACTGGCACAGGGACTAAAGGAGAGTCTCAACTCCTGGAGTTTGGAGGAGGAAAAAATGGTGTGCATCACCACAGACAGTGGAGCAAACATTGTAAAAGCAGCCTCCCTGAGCAACTGGACAAGGCTTCAATGTTTTGGCCATAGGCTACATCTGGCTATAGGTGAGCTGTGTATTAAACACCCAGTAACATTTTCATATAAATCAGAAAAATGTGTTCTTATGGGTTTTTTTTAAATTAAATAATTGACCTATGACAGAAAACAGAATAAAATAAGAACACATAAGTTACAGGTACTATAAAAATAGGGCTGCACGATTAATCAAATGCGATTGTCATTTTGTCAGTAAAGCAGGTTCTGTAAGTCTCCATCACCTGCTTTCAGATGGAGCAGCATTTAATACACAGAGCCGTAGTTCACTGACAAGATGCGCATAACAATTGCAGCATTTGCCTAATTGTGATTGCGATTTCATTTCGATTTATCATGCAGCCCTAAATATACATACATTAACCAGACATAAGCAGAAAAAATAAAAGTATAAATGGGCCCATTTTTACTCTGAGGCTTAAATGAACATTGATGATTGTATTGTATGTTTCTACATTTTAATCTGTGCCTTTTTAGCTAATTACTTTTATTTCACATTTAGATTTAAAAAAAAAAAAAAATTTAAGTATAAGCACACACAATTAAGTTTATCCTGCTTTATGTTTGTCCCATTATATTGTATTTTTAATAGCTATTTTAACATTTAATGCAAGAAAATGTATGGAATGTTAAATTAATTTACTGCAGAGTCGATAACAAAGCATATTTTTATTTGTAGAGAATGCAATGAAAGATTCACGGATTGACCGTGCTGTGGGTCTTTGCAAAAAGCTTGAGGCCTACTTCAGCCATAGTTGGAAGCGGAGGAGGGAGCTTGCTATTGCCCAAAAGGAGCTCAACCTGCCTGAACACCAGCTTAAAACGGAGTGCCCAACAAGATGGGGATCCCGACAAGCAATGGTCCAGAGGATCCTTGAACAGCAAACTGCTATTGGACATGTTCTCTCCTTTGACCGGAAGGCTAGACACCTGACACCAACCTGGCAGGATATGGAAGTCCTTGAAGTGATCAACAAGACGCTCACCCCACTAGCAGACTTTACTGATGCTCTCTCAGGAGAGCAGTATGTTACTATCTCATCAGTCAAGCCTGTCCTCTACCTTTTTGAGACAATGATGGCAGTGCAGGAAGATGATACAGATCTCGCATGATCAATTAAGTCAAAAATCTAAAAAAATATAGTGATCCACACACTCAGGAGCTGCTCGACATAGCCACAGTATACGCCTTATTCAGCCCGCCGCCATTTTGATTCGAAAACGAGGCTGTGAGGGATAGCAGTCCAGCAACGTTCACTATGGCGTATTGTTGTGTGGGGATGTCCGGGATGTCGATCGTTTAGCCGTCAAAATAAAGAGAATACATAATTTCACACATTTCCACAGGACAAAGAACTTCAGAAAACGCGGATTGTTAAAATTCGACGGGACATAGGACCTAACTTTCAGGTAACAATATTGCATTTATTAATACTAGCCTGTTGGCTAATCGCTAATTTCTAATGTGAGCATGTTTATCTTCCTTTAAACGCTTACATAGAGCTAAAATATGATGTTTTACGACAACAACTAAGGTTAAATGTCTCCATTTTGTATAGATTACAAAGAACACAAGAGTGTGCTCGAAACATTTCTCTCCGGAGTGTTTTTCAGGAAAATTGACTGGAATCAGGTTCAGTTCCGTCAGTGTTTACCTGGACTCAACGGCCTTACAAAAGGAAAACCTTGCGATCGTAAGTGAAAAATATATATTTTTCAAATGATGTTATAGATTAAAATACTTAATTTGTGATAAGAGCTTGCAGCTAGATCGGAAGCGCCTTTCAGACATTTATTATGAACTAAAAGTTAAACATGTTAAGTCATACAAAATACTGGGTAGAAACTTTATTTTTATGCAAAGCGATCAAAAGAGATAACATATATTTAATAGTTTGCTGTGTACTGTTTGAGGTCAACCCCTTTTAAAAATATCAACATTTTGTTCAGAACATTATTTCTGTTTCTGCTTTAGACAAGGAAGATGTCATTTAGAGGAAGAACATGAGGAAAATGAAAGGTGAGCAGAAATGGGGGAAATGAATGAATTTATTGTTTAAATAGTGATTTTAAATGAACGTAAATACATAACGTTACTATATAAGTTTTGTGTGTCATATAAGCGTGATATGTAAGTTGTATAGTTCAATCAATGACAGAACAGAGGCTGGACAAAATAATGTGAACACCTGCAAAATAGGCAATATTTCTTTAAGTTGTTTTGTGTTGTTTGTTCACAATCTTTATCAGTGTTTGATGGCCCCTATCATTAACTTTTTGTCTTTGCTCTCTATTCTTTTTTGCTGATGAAGTCATAATAATAATTACAGTCTTAATCATAAAATCAGTTGTTTTTTAAATGCACAACAACTGAGCTTAAGGTTACAGATGTTTTTGTTAAACAGGAACTGATGATTTGCTCTTTTTGGATATCTAACCTGTTACCCATTTCACACACAGCCAGTACTAAACACTGCTGAAAACCACTTATGCTGTACTGATAGACAAACAAGAGAATATAAACAAAAATATGAATAAATGATAATCACAATGTTTTTCCCCCACTGTAACCTACACAAATGTTATTAACCCCTATAATAATGGGTGTTCACTTTATTTTGTCCAACCAACTGTATGTAATATTGTTACATGTCTGGGTTTTAATTTTCTCTTTATTCTCTCCAGTTCTACAAAGGATGGACCAAGCAACGAAGAATTATATATATAATATAAAATATATTTATGCAATGCTACATATATACATAACTATAATTTTTGTTTTTAATATACTTTTTTTTTTAAATAGAAAATATATATATATTACCCCATAAATATTTTATTTTCATACTTGTAGTA